ATATGTATATATATGTATATACCTTATTATTGAGGTGTGATAATTGCGTAAATTTGTCCGAGACATTTTCATACTAAAAGGTGTAAAGGAGAGTATATTGATATTTGTATTGTTTATGCTTAAAGCACCGTCAATCAGTCCCATTGAACTTCACAGAGTGGCGTATGGTTATCCGACATGTTCTGTATCGGTCCAATGTATCTCAGCGTTTGCAGTGTGCGTGATCGTTGCGCCAGAAATTGGCTCATTGTAAAATTCACGATTGGAATTGTAGACCATTACATCCCGATTGTCACGGAGTTTTCTGTCGCATTTATACATAAATGGACCAGTGTTATATTGTATAGATCATTTCGTCCTGATTCTCATGCTATTTTCTGTGGTATTTGTACATTAAATGCACCAGTTTGGGGCATTATAGACCATTTCGTCTTGATTCTCACATAATTTTCTGTGGCATTTCTACAGAAATGGTCCATTGGGCGTACGATTGATCAGATTGCCACTGTACTCGGTATACCAAACAACAACAACACAGAGAAAGCAAATGTATGTACCGCACCGACCGCCATATTTAGCCCCATATTTAGGCGCATATTAAATTGATATTTGTTTAAGAGGTGGTAGAGCGGTTCGTCTGCGTGTAGCATAGGTGCGTATGTACTCGTATTCGGATTCCAACTCGTGCAGCTGTACACACACTCGTGATGCACCTCCGTGTATTTTGTGTCCGTGTGTGATGTGTGTCAGTGTGAATATTGTATGTATGTGTGCATATATATGTATATATATATACGTATATTTATGTGTAAATCTATGTGAACATGTGTACATATATGTATACATGCATTTTAGATATACACAGAAATGTATGTACCTATGTGTATGTATCCTCAGATATACGTGCCAACCTATTATAACAGCAAGTATCGCACTTGCACACGGTATTGCACCCAACATTTCAGTGGTGGACTACTGCTCACGCTATCGCCCATATACAGTGACACCTCCTTCCCATCAATCTGCAGCTCGTCCCCCAAAACTCTTGATTAACCTATCGATTCTTCACTGTTGATACGTTTATCTACGTTTGTCTCAGATTCAGCACACATTACTCATATTATGGGACTGTGTCCTGATTTGCCAACTCCCTACTGTGGGACGCCAAGTCCAAGTTCGCATGCGTAGCCATTATCAGTTTATCACTGCGTGTTTTTAGCGCACTAACTCCTTAACATCTCTGTCTCAACACAATTCTTCGTATCTCTCCGGATCTATATATATCGGTCAGATCTATACATATCGTTCAGATCTACTTAATCGTTCAGATCTATTTATATCGTCCAGATCTATTTTTATCCCTTCTCGTCCGCAGAAGCTCCTGCTGTACGAAGCGGATACATTGGAGTGTGTGACGGTCTCCAGCACACTGAAGGACGATTTAACCAATGGCCAGTCAATCCGCTTAGAACGGGAAGAAGTAGTTGCTAGTTTATTAACAGTTCGGTACTCAACGAGTGAAACAAGCTAGATACGCTTCTTGGGCTCAGACTACGTATGAGCTCTCTAGGCCACTGAGATGTGACCTGTCTGTCTGTCTGTCTGTCTGTCTGTTGTACTATGGTGCAATGATTGCGCGGAGAATCGCGTGCGCGTGTCTGCCCCAACAACTCAACGAGAGTCGATAGCTTATGGACAAGTACACAGTAGCCATTGCATGAGATGTGTTCGTTTGATTGAAGAATGGTAAATACCTCGCTCGCTCGCTCTCGAGAGGGCGGGGCAAGCCCTCGAGAAGCCTGCGCTCCCTTTAGTAAACCTACCGTAGTTTAGCATTGAGTTACTAGTATCAAAGTAAACCACTGCAGGCAATTCACTTACACTACCTTTGGGCTGTTCAGATATCAACGACCCGTGAAATGTTTATATGGCCTATGCTGAATTGTTCAATCATAGTATGGTAGGTACCTATCGTATTATAGCATGATACGTAGCTATTTAGATACCGCTTGATATGTGTGCATGATTAATTGTAGCTTGATGTGTGTATATTCCGTTGTAGCACCATTGTGTATATACATCGGTAAGATTATGTACAGTATCATGCAATTGTTGGTAAACGATCGTAAGATTTATCGCAGGCTTCCAACAACAACCTGGTATTCACTTCGAAATGTATCTTAATCGCAATATGTGTATATTTCTACAGTGGCGTAGAGTGTATGTATTTTATTTCTCTACCTAGAGTAATCTGCACTTCCTGGATGCTATATATATATATATATATATATATTTATATATATATATATAATAAACATAATAATTATATAATATAATATAA